GTTGGAAAATGTGCAACGGAGTTGGTGCCGGCTTACGGAAGATCGAAAATGTGTTTATGGACAGGTACCTCAACTCGACGTTGCTATATGTCCGATCCAATAATGTAAGTTATAAGTCTAAAAGCATAGTAAAAAAATAATTAATATAGTACCTACCTACTTAATTAATTTAATATACCCGAAAGTACCTGTACATAACAATATTATAATAATGTATTATTTATGTTCGAAATCATTAGAACAATGCCGTGACAGACGTCGCTCCCAAACCGGTCGACATCCATCTGTATAACTGTAAGTTGAAAATGTCTATATTTAAAAATTGTTATATTATAATATTTATCTAATCAATTAATTTTCTTTAGCATTCCGGAGGAATGAAAGGTATAGTTTAACAACTTACCAAAGTTATTTGATGGATGTCGATGCGTTGGTGAGCAGTCGTCGCGCATCTTTGTGATGTGAATACGGCAAGTTATTATTGGACCGGGCATAATATTACGTTGAGGAGTTACCTGTTCAAGAACACATTTTCAGATCAGTAGGCCAATAATTCCGTTGCCATTTTTTAATCATTCCTCGTTTTTTATTAAGGTTAAGATGTAACAGGATTTTAGGGGCTATTGCCTTTCCACTAGCTTCCAGGATTTTATCATACACACAGCCGACAACCCGATAACATACATTATTTTATATTTTGGTCCACCTCATGATGGCCGCGAAGTAACGGTAACGTCACTGTTTATCAGATTGTCCAGTTTGAAAGAGTCGCCAACGATTTCGTCCATAAATCCGTGACATAGCGCTGGGCCAGCATAATTTTGTCCGGATCAATATCTACAAAAATGACATCCCAACTATTAGAAACTAATAATATAGGTACTTAATATATATTATAATATAATATTAAACCCATTTATACCCAATTATTACATTGCAGTTATTACGATTAAGTAGAAATAATATTTTCAAATAATATTACAGTCGAACAGTCAGCTGTATAAAGTTTCCACTGCGCCACAAAACGGGTCGAGGCCGGTCGCTGAACATGGGAAGTCCTCAAGTCAGTGTCTTTCCAAGTGCACCCAGCATCGTATTTTACGGACCATATACGAGTTCGGCCACACTAGCTTGTCTGAAATGTGATTTTATTGGCTGTTGGACCGGTGGATATGCGGTTAACACTTGTCAGTTTATCACCATTTATTAACACGTGGCTCTAATACACTTGTCTCGCATTCGTATAAAATGTATTAGTTATTATACATAATATTACATATTTACACGTATCACACTATATTATATTATATTATTCTATGATATTATATATTTATACAAATGTAAACAAAGATATATAATCCTATATTATATATGCATATTATTCATGAAAATCTAGTTTGTATAAAATAATTATAATAATATCACATTTTATGTTGTACCAATAAAAAAATATGTATGAAAACAAAAGGTTTATTTAAAATATCTCTTCTATTACACCCTGTATATAGCTATTATTAGGGCTCAGATTATATATCTATTCATATAACCAAAGAATGTATTTATATACAACAAAAATATGTACATAAATATGGCCAAAGAATTAAAAATATGTAAGTATTATCAAAAAAAAAAAAAAATAATCAATTGCTATCGATTTTTTACAAGCAGTAAGTACAATACAAAACGTGGCCTTCACTTTTTAAATGTTCATATTTGGATATTCAGAAACACATTTTATTGCTTTGCAAGTCTTAGACGATCGTACTTTTGGCATAACATATTGGTGATAAGCATGTAAAATATAACGAAAACTGAGGCCACGAAACACACACTACGATGTCACATTAAAAACTAAAGCAGTGTTCGCTCGTTCGTGTCCAACGTGTTTAAATATGTGTTAATCGTAATATATTACGATAAGATATCTCATATTTCAAAAATCGTATCTAGAAATAATTGAAAATATAACAGGTTGAGTTCGACGGTCGTTTGTCACCGAGGAACCCTTATTTAGCCAAGTCAAAAATACGTCCAGTGGACCTGAACTCTGAAGAGAAGACGCTAAAACAGTAAAATTGTCTAAATATGTGAAAAAAATTGTGAAATATGTAAAAACATGTATTTATGACGAAATATATAAAATAAAATGTAGCTCATTTTATCAAAATCTTGTGAAACGAATTTATCACTCGCCGAAATTAGTTTATCATGTCGCAGAGAAAATATGTATTTAGATATAAATCCGAGCCCTAGTTATTATAGTATTACCGAGGATTTTCTGAGCTCTTGAGCCCAAAATTGTTGGTGGAAATAAACAATCATCTTCTACGTATAAGTAGGTATGCAATATATAGGTAATAAGAAAATAACCATCCTATAATCTATATTTGGATATATAGATACAAGTTCAACGAATGCATTTTCGATGTCATGTGGTGGTACGAATTGCAACCCGAAAAATAGTCTTAACCATATTCCTAACTCGTCGCAGTAGGTATAATAATATGCTGTTCTAAGTTGCTGCTCCGAATTTATCTGTAAAGTTAGGTAATACATTTAATATTATAATTTTACCATGTGTATATTTATAATATATTTTAAGCATAATCTTCAATGATTTTTTCATAATTTAAATGTTCTCGGGCTCTTTTTATAAAGCCAAGCCAGGAAGACGCTCTTGGGACGTGATACTTCTCAAATAAGTTTCTATAAGTTCTAACTTCTGCGCTAGCTGAAGTTATTAGAATAGCTAACATATTTGTTCTAAGAGCCGCGGCTGAGTTTGGAAAAGCTGAATTGCTTTTTTTTATAAAATTAAGTAGGTACTTCAATAGGAGTTACCGATTTATCGAATAAGTTTTGGCAAATCAAAATTCCTTTTTTTTGTGAGTTGTATGCGTTTTATCTATATTACGCGTGCGTCTGAGAGAGAAAACACAAATTGCGCTGACATCGTCTCTTATAGTTAGTCTTTCGAGAATTTGCAACTACAAGTATTTATTTAGGGGCCTCAAATTTGTCCATTACTTTTTAATTATAGGCTATAACACTACATAAATCACATAAAAAAATCGATGATTATTTAGCGAGGAAAAAAGCTTGTAAATTATAATTTACTAGCTGATCCAGGGCACTCCGTTGCTCGTTAAATGTACCAACTCTTTATGACTCAAACTCTGTTCAATTCGTTATTTAATATTGGGTGTATGGTGTTCAAAACTTATCTTAACTTTTTCGTTGCCCAGAATAAAAATTCTGATTCGCAGCAGTATATTAATATATATTAATATATATTATATTAGTATATTAATTATCAGGTAAGCAATCTACCTGTGGTGGATCCCGGACCCCGTGCTGTTTGTACGTAAGTGTATGATTTAACTCTAGAGTGTCAAAGACTAAAGTTATACTAAGTTTATCGTTTTTACTTAATTCCACTTACGGTGGATTAATATAATCTTTTTTTTTGAAACATACCTACTTATTTCAACATGCTAAGAACGGTGGTCCAAATAAAATGTTGCAGAAATCATTATTTTGGAAGTTATATAGCGATTCGTTTGTATACGCACGCGTACAACACTGTACTTTGGATGAAAACTATATATAGTCAAAATTTGACTTTCAGGCTTAATTTTAAATAGTTATAGCTAATTGAAATTAATAGTATTTTCATATACTGCAACCAGTGCAACCGTAGCTTTCTCGGACAATAAAAATCGAAAACATCCCTCAACTTGTTATGTGAACAACTATACCTACGCATTGATATACCTATAATACGTATTTGTAATCAAATACGATATTTTTTAACCATAAATTATTTTTTACCGTAATGAATATATAATTAAAATCGAAATAGTGAAAACTCTAAATACCGGACACTCTATATTCAAAGGGTTCAGTTCGAAGGAAGCTTGTAGTCGGTTCCTAAGAAAACGTCAGCTATTTGGAGGTGTCCGTTAGAACAGGTTTCACTGTATTTTTTAGTCATAATTGTATTTGTATTACCTATACATTTAATGCTATATTTTTGTACTTGCGATATGCCACGACTGCCACGACATTATATTATTATTTATTATAATATATGCACTCGTTCTTTATATAGAAATGTAATTAATTATTTTTGTTTCACAGGTGAATCTATAGGTAGTCTACTGGGCGGATATTTATTCGATACATATGGCGTAGTGAGGTCGTTTCGATTTTTCTCCTATATGTCTGTTCTGATGTGCTTTCTGAGCATAGTAACCAATTATTTTGGATTGACAAGGGAATCTAGTAATAAGTCATAAGGTAATAAGAAAATATAATTAAAAAATAATAATTTTAAATTTATTTAAATTAATTTTTAAAATATAATCTATTATAGTGTTGATAATATGAATAACCAATGAGAAGCCGAGAACTGAGTAATTGACATGGTCTGAAGAGGAATCTGCGTATCAGTAAAATTTTGATCATACCTATATATTCTATTTAGTCATGATTTTAACCATAACAAATTAGATAGGTATCATCACAGTATTTTGATACACATCCTCCGATCTTTACATCGCATATATCTTAGTTCTCCATTCCTTATTGGCTGTCAATGATATACATACAGCACCACCCCCACCACAGATCACGTGACCATGGCTCCAGTCTCCTGTGCGGTCCGTGCGATGTGCATGTGCGTACGCGCGTCATTTGTCGTCTGTAAGAAAATGTTCTATAGAAAAAAAATGTATAGGTAGCTCGGTATTGTGTGTAGGATACCTCGTGCATTTTTGAAATTCCAGGTAGCCGCTGGACATTCACGGCAGCTGCTCTGCCTATTATATCGATATAACATGTAAGATTTTAAGGAATTCAACGCATTTGTGCTCCACTCTCCGTGTCGGCGCCTGCTTGAAAATGCGCTCCGTGATTTTTACCATTGTTTTTTTTTTGTTTTCTTGATCGTTTTCGTATGTTTTTTTTTTTTTTAACTTTTTTCGTTTTACGAATTCACTATGGGTGATCGTGTGGATATGGTTTCTGAATTTGACAACGTGGAGGAAAATATTTCACCTAAAAGAAGAAATATTCCAGGAAAAGTGAGTAAAATTTTATAAATTAATAATATCGGTACTGTAATAAATTATTACTAATAATACACGTTTAATTTTTATGATTTTTATTTCGTCGGCATTTCGAAATTTCGTTTATTCATACAAATATACAATGATTATTTATGTTTAAAATGTATAATATAAATGTGTTTATTACCATATTATACACATGAATACAGTTTTAAGTAGTAAAAAAAATGTATTTTAATCGCTCGCTCTACACCTCGTCGAGCAACGGACCATCACCGTGCCGTATATAATTTATTATTATTATTATTGTCTGTAATCACTTTTAATTTTTATGATTTTTATTTCACCGGCATTTCGAAATTTTGTTTATTTATACGAATTATGATTTTCAAAATTAAAAATACGAAATAGATATAACATACTCACCAAAATAATATAAGTTTGACCAAATTAAATATAAATTTGTTTTTTGGTGGATACGGAGCCGTCAGAAGACCATGATTATCAACATGTATAAGGACATGAAATTTAAGTCTCCGAGTAAGCCGTACAAGGAAATGATGGTTGAAATTTCAAATTCCACAGGTATTGGTCGCAATTCGATAGTTTCAATTATTTCCGAATACAAAAAAACCGGAACTGTCACGTCTCCTAATAAGACACGTAATAAGAAGTGTCTGTTCGATTACATTGACGATTTAGATCGTAATGCACTTCGTCAAAAAGTTCATTCCTTTTGGTTGAGAAAAGATTTACCAACCATCGACAAAATTTTGCATGCGGTGAATGAAGATCCTGCCTTTCCCGATTTCAAACGCACTTCGTTGTATTCGGTGATAAAGAAATTGGACTTCGTCTTCACCAAGAGGAAAAGATCCAGCGTCTTGACGGAGCGAGAAGATCTGTTGGTTTGGCGTCAGAATTATTTGTACGATGTAGGTAAATATAGAGAAGAAGGTCGTACCGTCTACCTACTATCTTGACGAAACGTGGCTAAATGCAGGTGATTGTGTTGACAAAGGTGTTACGAACCCGACTGTCAAGGCAAACGTTTGATTATTGTACACATTGGCTCGCACAAAGATTTTGTATATAGTGATCTGTTATTTTTAAAATAAAAAAAAAATAGTGCAGACTACCATGAAGAAATGAATGGTGACAACTTCCACGAATGGTTTGAGTCAATTCTTCCACGTCTTGATCCAAACACGGTAATTGTGATGGATAATCGTATCACTCTGTCAGGACAGAAAAAATACCGACATCCAGCACAAAAAAAGCAGACATTATATCGTGGTTAATTTCAAAAAACGTTGTCATTGACCGAAAAATGTTTAAACCACAATTACCGGCGAAGGTCAAAGAAATAAAGGGGCAGTATATGTCGTATGTTGTCGACAATATGGCCAAAGACGCCGGGCATAATGTATTGAGATTACCACCCTACCATTGCGAATTGAACCCGATAGAATTGGCATGGGCAATGGTTAAGGGCTACGCCAAACAGTACAATACGACATACAAAATAGATAACGTTAAGGTCCTTCTAAACAAGACAATTGAACGGGTCACCATCGAAGATTGCCAAAATTGTCTTCAACATATCAAAACAGAGGAGGATAAAATGACCGAAGTAGACGAAAATATGGTTGAAATTATAGACAATTTAGAACCCCGTGTCCTCACCATAACAGGCGATACTTCCAATTCTGATGACTTAATTCTTCCATAATGTATTTTGTACATAATAATCATTTGTTAATATTTATTTACCAATAATTTTTAAACTGTAGATATTTGTGTAATTTTTATTTGTTTAAGTGACTGAATGTATTATTATAAATGTATATAATTTGTTTTAATGTATGCATAACTGACGTATACTCAACTTTTTGTTGAGTATTAATTAAATTAAACTAACCTATGTAATGTTTATAAAAAAACAATACTTTGATTACTTACTTAATCTTTATATACGTTGCATTTATTATATTATATTATATTATTATTTATTTATATACATTGATTATTCATGTCCGACCGGCGACCGTGACAGTGTCGTACAAAGTAATACGCTTCATAGCAAAACAATGCATTTTAAATTATTTGTACTCGTCTGCAGTCGATACTAGAATAATGCGGCGGCGTGTCAGGCCGAGCCGCAGAAATAATCCTTACCCATGCGCACAACTCGGCCGCCGAGGCCCGAGGTCCGGTCTCATTTTGAACAGAGTATATATAACATAGAACAAAATCGACCAATGAGAAGTGGAGAACTACGATATAGGCCGGAGGTGAAGGAGATGCGTATCTACTGTTTAAAACTAGTACAACTGTGATGATACCTATCTAATTTGTCACGATTCTAACCACGATTAAAGATATACAGGTTACTCAACGACTCTATGCACATACACAACAAAAGTGGTGCACGATAATGTTGGTTTCTAACAGCTGATCAAGCTGAATAAATACTAGCATAGAACATAGTATTGTATATCTATATTGGTATATTTTGTAGTACCAAGAGAAATCACTTTAATGCAATAGCGCTAACTGTTATTCTTGCCATGACAAGATCGTTAAATTTAACCGCACCAAAAAATAAGTTTCGTTGAGTAACCTGTATATTTTTAATCGTGATTCTAACTTTTTCATTTTTTGTTTTTCGATTTTTAATTCATTCATATATCTTCGGCCAAAATGCCTAGTTGTTTTATTTGTGGCAGAACAAGGAATAAAAATTCAATAATTGAAGATATTACTTTTCATAAGTGAGTGTAGTCCAGTCGAATTAGACGAAAATAAGGCTTCACCTCGGAAAATATCCCATAAAGCTGAAATTGGGCATACATCTTTATCACGTTGTCATAAACAATGTGTAAAAAATCGACCACGAAATCACTTGCGCGTCAAAGGTTATTCGAGATCAAAGGTCATGAAAATAACTTTTTTTTAATATCTCGTTTGTTGCTGGTTGTACGATAAAAAGTTTCAAACAAAAATTATAGAAGAGGTAGTTCTCTACAAAAATGAAACTTTGACATTTTCTCTTAAGTGTTATAGTCATTGAGCTATAAAGCCTACATAATACATACTTTTAAATAAATTTGTTTTTTTCACTAAAAACAAACAGCCTTTGCGTTATTATCTCGCTTTGAGCTGGTTGTACAAAAACAAGTTTCATATAAAAGTTGTAGAGGAGAATATTATCTACAAGACCTGGATTGATGTGGTAATCGAGCAATCGCTAATGAAATCAATGAAGACTGAAGGAGGAGTTTCACGAGGAAGAAAATACTCAAGAGAGCTTTTTGAATAAATGGGTTTATGGCATGTATGCTTTGAACTCAATATGTGAAGACATAGAAACGTTTTGTAACATTTCCTTAGACACCGTTGATCAGCATGTTGATACAAGAGATTCTTGCATAAAAAGAATATGATTTAGGAAGGCATAAACCCACTAGACTGTTTGGCTGAAGAAAACGATGCTGAAAAACACCAAAATAACGAAAAAGAGGAAATACAAGACGTGCCAATGCAAGACATGCTATAGTATGATGAGTAAACCCAGAGTTGAGTTATTAGTTAATAATTAAAATATTATATATATTTAATCACATTTTAACGATGTCAATGGACTTAGGCCTTTAGGGGATCCATGTAAAAAAAGGTGCTATGCTGTACAGTGGGCGCGGCCCGTTTCGCCCAAAATCAACCTGTTCCCGTTCGCCCAGATACCCGTTTCGACCAAAGTCATTTTAGTCGTTTTCAAATTAAGTTGGCAATGATTTTAAATATATAGTATTTTAGTATACCATATAATATTATGTATTAACTATTAAAAAAAAAATTACATTATATTATAACATATTACTATTTTCAATAAAAACTTTTATTCTAACCCTCCATCAATCATAAGTTGGTAAAATATTATACGCAATGAGATCCAGACAGAAACGTATATCAAAATGAATAGTGTTGAAATTCCCAAAAAAACAAAAGACAGAAAGACGGAGGAAAGACAAGAATACAACGAAAAACGTATACTTTTATATAGATCTGGCGAAATTACTAGGTACGAATTTGTAAAAAGCATGTGTAGAAATTTTAAAAAATAATAGTGTTCGTAAATAGATTTTAATAACTTGACTTAATTTATTATTTAAATAATAATATAATAAATTGTGTAATGTTTTTTTTTTTAAATAGTTTTTAGTAGACAATAATATGTGTATAAATGTATAATATTGAGTATGTATTTTTTAAAACTTTGGCAATTACCAATATTTGGCAATATTTTACCAACTTATGATTGATGGAGAGTTAGAATAAAAGTTTTTATTGAAAATAGTAATATGTTATAATATAATGTAATTTTTTTTTTTAATAGTTAATTATAATACATAATATTATATGGTATACTAAAATACTATATTATTTAAAAATCATTGCCAACTTAATTTGAAAACGACTAAAATGACTTTGGTCGAAACGGGTATCTGGGCGAAACGGGAAAGGTGAGTTTGGGCGAACGGGTGCCGCCCTGTACAGTAAGTTACAAGAGGGTCACTGTATAATGGATGGTATTAAATTTGAATTCAATGATATAATATCATTGTACCTACACAGTGCCGGCTCGATGGTTTTCGGGGCCCGGTGCAGAATTTCGCGGGGCCCCATATGGCCAATTGCTGTATATGTTAATTTAGTAATTATTATACAATATACACATTTATTTTATTTTTTAGGGACTTTTTTAAATTGCCTGTGAAAATAATATTACCTATCAGTATTGTTTTTAAAATTTAGATAGAATGACTTTAATGATTCTACATCTACATATTTTTTTGTCATATAAAAATGTAAAATAATCCAAAACGTATACCTTTTCCATTAATTTAATGGAAATAGTACATTTTGGAAAATTTAATGGAAATAGTTCATTTTGGAAAACCTAATAAAATATTAAAATATACTCCAAAATGTGCTTTTTCCAAAATAAAAATATTATTAATTTCTTATTTATTGTTTCAATATGAACAAACCGTTTATAAATAAAAAAGTAATTTTGAATACAAGGAAGATTTTTTAAATTATTTAAGAGGACGCTATACCCGCATGTGTTGTCTCCGTCTTACAAATGTACAACATATCAAAAACTATTTTGCGCGGGAAAGAACCGAGAAGGCTACAGTCATAACTAAGAAACGAAATTTTCACCACATAAAAAGGAGAACTATATGGCTGTGCAACGTTGTTTTTATTTTTTTGATATCACTTATATGAAAAAAGTTCTTACTGTTTAAAAAACCGTTATTGTTTGTGTTTTTCAAACTTGAAAAACTTTTTTCATACAAATGATATCAAAAAAATAAAAACAACGTTGCACAGCCAAAGTTCTTCTTTTTATGTGGTGAAAATATCGTTTCTTAGTTATGATTGTAGCCTTCTTGGTTCTTTCCCGCGCAAAACAGTTTTTTGCTATGTTGTGCATTTGTAAGACGGAGACAACGCATGCGGGTATAGCGTCCTCTTAATAATATATTATTTCTATTAAAAACGACTCAAATGTGTTTAATAATCTAGGATTATATTTTTAATTTAATTTCAAACTTAATGATTGTGAATATTATAAATTATAAATTATATTTTAGTACGTTTTGGATTAACTATTTTATTTCGCTATACCTACAATACGGGCAGTAGTACGTTTTGACATAACATAAAAAAAAGTACGTTTTGGAATAATTTACGAAAATAGTTCGTTTTGGTATAGTTAATGATTGGTGCCTATTATTTTAACATTGACAATAGTATATTTTGTCGTAAAACTGGAAAAAGTACGTTTTGATTATCTAAATATAATTTTTATGCACTGAAAAGGTTCGTTTTGGATTAAGCAGTCATTTTTAACAGCTGATTTGACCTGGAAATAGTACGTTTTGGTCTATTCTGACAACACCAATCGATTTGTCGGCGTTTTTTTTATAAGAATCGGTATCTAACTCGTTTTTGCCAATTTTGGCAATAGTACGTTTTGGATTTCCACCCCTCAATCAAGGTAAGATATTAAAATATAGACATAGTACACATACTTATTCTAATTGGTATTTGTCGATAACAAACAGTTTCCTAAGAAAACAACAAGGGTCGCGATATCCGTATTACTGCTACGGGGACAATATTATTATGTTTATTTATAGATAAAGTGATATTCGTAACAAGCTCGCACAAGCTCACCATGCGCCATGCGCGGGGTCCGGTGCGGTCGCACCGCTTGGCCCCCCCTAGGGCCGGCACTGTACTTACAAAAAAAAACGATTCTGAGCGGAAACGGATGTCAGTCTAGGTATAAGACAAATTATATACTAATCTATGGTATTAAAAAAAAATGAGCTATAATAAATTCAAAATTAATCATATCACAATATCCATTAGGTACTTATAACGCGTTATACATCAACAACAAACCCTGATACTATCATAGATATATAATAGTGTACTTTTGAAGTTTCAAGTAGGTACCCAGGAATAATAGTATACAATCACAACAAAATAACTAAAATAGTTATTCTAGATTTTTCATTATGAAATTTCGTCTAAATTTAAACTTAAAATTGCTATAAAAATAAACTGTGTCTATGTATTTTTTAGATTTTTTGGTTACAGAATTAACTACTTACGTGGAATCTTGTTTTAAATTTTTAATTCTTAGATATAAAAGTT